ATGTTCATCACAGCTTATGGTGTTGATATGTTAAATACCATTGGCTACATATACACGAGGCAGGCAGCAAAAGAACTTGGGAAAAAAGCTATATATTTGGGTGTACCATTTGTTGCTGAGTGGTTTAGAAACAAAGGGCACTCAATAAAGTCACAGGTCACTGCAGCAACAGGTTTGTTGGTAGTGTTATAAATCTGAACTTGGAGACAGGGGATTAATCATTAACTTTCAAGGTCTCAAATTCACCTTGTATTGAGTACATACTTAATATCATGCTCAAAGCTCTTTAATTTGAAAAATGACTTGTAGGAGTTATTTCTGATTTTCTGGATGTTACTTTGTTTGGTTTGCACAGTAAAGTGAAGTTAATGGAAATTGAATACCACATATTGAAAATGGCCATTTGTAGGAAATAATAATTATTATTTTATTAATTTATTCCTTAAACAATAGCAATGACTGCCGGCTATCACCACAAGAATGACTTATCAACAATCACCACTACAACAAGAATTGCAAGCAAACCGTTCAAGAACTATTTGAGAACTCGAAAAGAATTGTTCCGAAATTGTTTGCTACAGCCTTGTATGGTTCTGTTTTATGTTTTCTGTCTTAAATTTTTTGAAAATTAAAAGAAAAATTCTGAAAACAAGAAAAAGTGGTTTTTCAGTTTTTTTTTTGTTAGCAGTTTTCAAAATTAACATGTTTACTGTATATTTGATTTTAAGTTCCCTATACTTTGTGTTAGAGACCTCACCGGTACAAATGTTAGAGACCTCACCAGTACAGAACAATTACAGTAGATTGACAAGAAAATCAAACTAAATTCTTATTTGATGAAGAAGATCGGTTACAGAGAGAAACAGAAACAAAGGCCGAAGCCTCCCAAAAGAGAAGAGAATAACTCTCTAATCTTTCCCAGTCCCAGTCCAAAAGTCCAAAAAACCTTCTTACTACCTTCCCTCTACATCTATTTATACTATAATACTACCTAAGCCCTTATTACAACTATTATTATGATTCTTTCTATTATTAATCTAATAGGTAGGTCCCTATCGATACTCCCCCCTTTGAGAATCCACCTTGCCCTCAAGGTGGGAAGATAGGAACCAAGTCTGGAATTCCGCTTCCTCCTGGTGCCTCTTCCCTCCCAGCACCTCGCTGATGGTGGTATAAGAAGTTCCCAGACTTCTAGTCCTCTAGATGAGAAGCTCTTGACCATGTTCAGCATTGCATGTCTCTCAGGCTCCATCCTCTCTCTTGAGTGAAACTTCTCACTGAATAGCTCGTACAGAATTTCATCCACACACATGTCATAAGAAAGTTTATGAAAACTTGTGTCATACTGTGTTCCTCTTTTTGAATTTAAGACTTCTACAATCTCCAATGGTATTCCCCCATCATGAAACAGAAGTAGCATTTGTCCCATTACACTGCATAACCAGATGTCTTTTTTAAGAACATGCATATTTTCATTGAGTAATGCACCCATCAGTTGAAATGCAGGAATATCCAATACAAATTTAAAGTAACAATTTCCAAAGGACCATAAGTCCACAAATCAGGGCGGTTCTGTCCCAAATAACTTCCTGACACTTCAGAAGATCTTGCCAGAAAATGAACCTGATTACCATAGAGTATTTCTAAAAATTTTGGTGCAACAACTTCGCCTAGAGCTTGCTGATAACTCTTAAGAGCCATCTTCTGTAACACTCTTGTTAAGATGTCAAAAACATCAGTAAGTGATAGGCTAAGAACAGTCTTTGCAGTGATGTCTCCCAATTTTAGATATCCTCCTAATGCTTTCAATGGATTATGTAAGCCAAGCTTGTGGTAGTTTATCATGCTATCAACAATATGCTGCAATTCTGCTTCTTTTAATCCTGATAAGTCTTTAACAATTACTGTTGTGAGTTGCAGGGAACTTCTATCAAAGTGCTGGGAATGGTTAGACTTCTCATCTTCAGGAAAAGGTTTACAGTTTCCAAACATAATAGCAAATTCTCCTCAAAAAAGATCCACATCCTCCTCCTGAGCCTCTGGCCCAGATTTCCTTTTATCAATGCCTGAATATTCTGAAAACATTTCCCTGGGTTGTCTAGGTTCTTGACTTTTGATCCGAACAGCTTTGTCATCTGAAACGTTCTTGATTTTAAGTGCTCCAATTTCATAAGCAGTTAAGACTCTACTTCCAAAGAAACATGGGTGGATAAGCAGGTCAGCAATAGAAACTCGACTGGGAGTTAAATCCATAGCAATTTCAATATTAGGAGAAGCATAATCTGGCGTTTGTTTAACCGGAAGAACCGTTTTCGACTTTAAGACACCTACAATTGTAGTTTGCTCCACGATTTCGTCCTCCTTATTCGTTTTCTTGATTCCAGATTCAATTGGTTCCCTCTCAATCTCCTCTATGGACGGTAGAATTTCTTGCTCAGGGACAAAACCATCTTGCGATAAAACTGGCAAACACAGAGAAACGACTTGAGAAGAGGAAGGGAAATAGTGAAAATCGATTGGTGACTTTCTTGGACACGAACTGAGGTCCGGAGAGGAATTCTGCGAATGGCGAGAAACAGTTCGCGCTTGAGAAATATGAAAAGAAGTTCGCGATTGCGAACTAAAAGGAACAGTTCGCGCTTTCATTTGCGTTTCAGTTTGCGAACTTATAAGCGATGACGATGGACTGTGTTTGTCAGGTAGCGGAAGATACCTAGTCGTCCTCGATCGGTCTCCAGATTTTCTGCGATGCCTCTGCTCTTCTAACTCCTCTGAGTCAGTCGAAAATCGCGTATGTCGATGATGGGATTTGGGATGCGTATGAGAGTAGTCAAAATTCTCTTCCGATCCCTCTGGAGTGGATGACCTTCGCGACTGATGATGCGAAGTCCGACGAGAAGAGCTATACGACGAACGATGGGAAGAGTTATGGTGGGATGAGCCATGCGAAGATCGGTGCAAATGGTGCGATGTATGTCGCGAACGACTTTGAAGTCGGTTCTGCAAATCAGCGATGCTAGCTTGCATCGCCGTCATCATCACATGCATCTCTCTCTGACTTCTCTCCAATTTTGCTTGTATTTCACGTTGATTTCTTCCCACATCTGACAAAGTTTTCTCGACTTCATTGATCCGTCCTTCCATTTTGGCGCGCGTGTGTATCATCCAGCGACCGACGCTCTGATACCAATGTTAGAGACCTCACCAGTACAGAACAATTACAGTAGATTAACAAGAAAATCAAACTAAATTCTTATTTGATGAAGAAGATCGGTTACAGAGAGAAACAGAAACAAAGGCCGAAGCCTCCCAAAAGAGAAGAGAATAACTCTCTAATCTTTCCCAGTCCCAGTCCAAAAGTCCAAAAAACCTTCTTACTACCTTCCCTCTACATCTATTTATACTATAATACTGCCTAAGCCCTTATTACAACTATTATTATGATTCTTTCTATTATTAATCTAATAGGTAGGTCCCTATCACTTTGAGAACAAGTTCAACTCTTTAGTTTGAGCATTTTTTCATGTCTATCAAGCACTCTTGTAAAAAATCAGACATCTGTCAAGCTGAACCTGAGCCTCATGCTTTAAGCTCATCGCATCCTGAGGATTGAGGATCACTATTATCGAATCAACCTGAAATTATCTTACGGACTACAGTGTTCAGGCTCAGCTGTTTAACACCCCTAGTGCCAATGCTCTTCCTAGGTGTTCAATTTTGGACTTTAGTAGAATCAAAAGGAACTTTTTATAAGGAACTAATGAAATATGATAGTTTTGTGAATTGATGATACCAAATTGAACATCCTTCAGTATAGTTTAGCATTGGAATACAGTCATGGTGAAACATGACAAAGGCTACTCCACCAATTCCTGCAGATTTTCCTTTTAGGGAATACAGTCATGGTGAAACATGACCAGCAATGTTGCTGATTAGGAATTCAAAGTAATTGTTGACAATATTGCATCTCTTTACTGCTTTAGTGATATGGATCGACCTATGAGACTAATAAATAGAAGAGTTAGTTGATAGGTTATATTTCTGTTATTAACTAATAACTAGAGTAGGTTGTACTGGAAGGCTATAAATAGAATAGTATGGGAAGGAGAGGGCAGGCTGTTTTTTGACTATTGTCTTGGGACTGGGAAGTTAGAGTTCTATCTCTTTCTTTTGGGGGCTTCGGCCATTTGGGGGCTTCGGCCATTTGGGGGCTTCGGCCATTGTTACTGTCTTCTTCAATAAAGTTTGCAGTTCTTGTTCTTGATATTTCTTGTGAATTTTCTGTAAAAGTTGGTTAGTTCTATCAGTGGTATCAGAGCATGTTGATCGCTGGAGGATCATTACGCGTGCAGAAATGGAAGAAAGAAAGAACGAATGTGAAGACAATCACCAACATACTTCGGCGAAAATAGCGGCGTCAATTGCTGCGATAAAGGCAAGCCTCGCAATCTTGGAGAAGAGATTCCAGAAACGATCGAAGAGCAAGGTGTACACTTCGCATAAGTCGCATCGCAATTCGCACCAAGGGCATCCAAGAAATTCCGATCCTGGAGAGAGTGGTAACATCACACGTCGAGCGGGGAATCCTAGAAATCATTCGTCGCAGTCGCTAACCAGTTCGCAGAAGGAATCGCGAACTGTTTCTTCTGTTTCGCACTCACGAAAGGCTTCGCGCGGAAAAATGGGGAGGATCGCGGAAAAGGTGGAGTGCGGAAAAATAGCGAAGGAGAAGCATACGAAGAGCAAAGAAAAGGTAGAAAGGGATGGGACGAAGGAAGGGAGGACCGGATTGGATGAGTTGTGCACCATGTCACGGCCACAACCTCGTCGGCGAGGAAGATCGAGGAAGGTACGTCACTGCATAAATTCGAAAAGCCAAGGTTCTTTGCAGCTGCCAAATTCTTCTGGTCTTTTGGCTTCCACGCGATCTTTCACATGCTCAGACGCGTCTACAGACTTCAAAAAAACTGTTCCTTTTGGACAGTTTACCAAAAAGTTGATCAATGCCCTTCCTTTACCATCTGTCCAAAAATCTGACATAATAGAGCATCCATATGTCTTCCAGTGTGCTCTGAATGATTCAACAAATTCTTTTGTTTTGACAAGCTGCTTGTTTAACAGAGTATGGCGGTATTGATGATAGCTGGGTGCTGGCATACCTTGAAAAGGAATGACAAGAAATTAAGAATAAAATTTCAGTTTATTGGACTAAAAATTAAGGCTATTATAAAATTTCAGTTCATTTACCTCTTCCGTAATCTCCAACTGCATGAATAAAGGCCTGAAAGCTTGGTGTTCTAACGGCATTAAAAGCTAACCCAACCTCATATCCCCACTCGGCAAATTTATCCCAAGCAATCTCCTTCAATTTCTGCTTAGTTGGATTATGTTTATCCAACGTTGATTGTTTCATCTTCTCATGGTCGGGCTTTAGTAAGGTATCCAGTGATCCTCTAACATTAGATTGCTTAATTCTCGTCTTAGAAGCATTTGTGCCACTGCCTTGCCCAGTTGTAAAGATTGAAGCTGTGTGTCCACCTTCAGTTTGGCCATCACCATCATCACCAAGCTCACTTTCATCATCCCCATCCAGGAAAGCATTTTCCCTCTCAATTATAGTGTCAACTCTAGCTTTCTTTGCCTTGGCAGATTTTTTTTCAAGTAATGATTTTGCAACTATCTTCATCACTTCATTGGTTACCTTGTTACAAGAAGAAACACTTCCCTTAACTTGTGCAAGGTGTTCTTTAAGACGGTGAATCCCTCCAGACATTTTCTTATCACAAAACTTACACCACACCAAAGATTTATTAGTAGGATCTCTATTCTCTCCCCAAGTCCATCCTATATCATCTGATTTTCTCTTAAGTGTAGTAGCAGCAGCAGATTCAGCACCATTAGAGGCCTGACCAGACTGATCAGAGTTCATGACTGTAAATTCAAGGATGTTAGTAAGCTTAAATAAATGATCATCAAGGAACTGACAGCTTAATACAAGGAACTGGCAGCTTATTACAAGGAACTGGCAGCTTAATATAAGAATAAAAATCAAACAAATTTGGCTGCAGCAGTTTGAATAACAAAATAACTTAACAGAAAGATTAAGGAGTTACTGGGGTGAAAGCAAACAAAGTGCCCTGAAGGCATTGTTTAAGAAATCAAATGCAAGCGTTTCACTGGGATGTATTACGCAAACTCCATGGTTTTCAATCAACACTTTTCTGCTTTAGTTCCTTAACCAAAGCCCAAATAAGAGTGTTAACTCTTAATATTTGCATTCATCTATATAACTTTTGGATTACAGAGACATCTCTAAGAGCTTGTTAATAAAATGATTCACTTTTGGTAACTACTTACTACTACAACAACAAGAAACGAGACAGCCTCAGTAACATAATAACTAAGGAACTGGCAGCTTAATACAAGGAACTGGCAGCTTAATATATGAATAAAAATCAATGCTTAATACATAATAACCAAGGAACTGACAGCTTAATATAAAAATCAAAGCTTAATTCATAGATTCATAGAATAAAAGGAACATAATGCCTCAGTAACAAGCGAAAGAAGAAACGAGGGAAAGAGTTACCTGTAGCACCTCGCAGAGTCGCATCAACCTTGTAGCACTCGCAGGTCTCGCAGGTGACTCCCAGCAACAGTAGAACTGGTCGAAACGATGAAGCAACACTGATCGAAGCCCCAAAAGATGACCTAGACTGCCAGTCGCAGCTCCTAAAGATGTCGCAGCACTGGTCGAAGCCACTGCTTAAGGTTTTAGGTTTAGTGCGCAAGTTTTTTTTTATATACCGAGTAGTACCGAGTAACTCGCTTATTTCACCAACTTACCGAGTAGCCTAACTCGCCGAGTAATCGCCGAGTTACTCGGATAATTAACTCGGGCCGAGTAAATGTCCTACTCTGCAAGGTAGGAGGCCGAGTCGGGAGTACTCCCCGAGTACTCGCCGAGTACTCGCCGATTAAATAACCCAGCTGAAGCTACAAATCCAGGATTCAGTGAGATATTGGGAAGGAAGGGGCATAAGAATGAAGATGAAGCTGAAAGTTGCGGCTGTTTCCTATCAGCCACCTTGAGGGCAAGGTGGATGTTTAGGGAGAGAGTATTGATAGGGATCGACATATGAGACTAATAAATAGAACTATAGAAGAGTTAGTTGTTAGTTATATTTCTGTTATTAACTAATAACTAGAGTAGGTTGTACTGGAAGGCTATAAATAGAATAGTATGGGAAGGAGAGGGCAGGCTGTTTTTGGACTATTGTCTTGGGACTGGGAAGTTAGAGTTCTATCTCTTTCTTTTGGGGGCTTCAACCATTTGGGGGCTTCGGCCATTGTTACTGTCTTCTTCAATAAAGTTTGCAGTTCTTGTTCTTGATATTTCTTGTGAATTTTCTGTAAAAATTGGTTAGTTCTATCATTTAGGCTGGAGAAATTCTTTGAACTCCAATTTTAAGACTAATATGGGTGTTAGACAATTAGAAAAGGCATATCACGTAAGTATATCAGCATCATCATGGATATGTATGATGCTTGTACTACAAGTGTCCGCACTAGTGTAGGGAGGACCGCAGAGTTCCCTATTACTATTGGAGTGCACCAAGGATCTGCTCTGAGTCCTTTCTTATTTGCTTGAGTCATGGATGAACTTACGAAGTCAATTCAAGAAGATATACCGTGGTGCATGATGTTTGCCGACGATATTGTATTGATTGATGAGACACAATCCGATGTTAAAGCAAAGTTGGAAGTATGGCGACAAACATTGGAGAGCAAGGGTTTCAAACTGAGCCAAAGCAAGACTGAGTATATGGAGTGCAAGTTCGGTGGAGGTAGAAGCGGTAGCAACAGTGGGATTACTCTTGATGGTAAGGAGATACCGGTGTGTGATATGTTCCGTTACTTGGGATCCATAATTCAGAAGGATGGTGAATTAGATGGAGATGTATGTCATAGAATCAGAGCTGGGTGGATGAAATGGAAAAGTGCTTCAGGATTTCTATGCGATCGAGGTATGCCGACTAAATTGAAAGGTAAATTTTATCGCACAGCAATTAGGCCGGCATTAATGTATGGCGTAGAGTGTTGGGCGGTGAAGCAATGCCACATTCAAAAGATGAGTGTGACAGAGATGCGTATGTTGCATTGGATGTGTGGACATATCAGAAAAGACCGCCTGAGGAATGAGGTAATCAGACAAAAGGTGGGAGTAGCACCTATAGAAGATACGATGCAGGAGTCTCGTTTGAGGTGGTTTGGGCATGTGCATAGAAGACCGAGTGATGCACCTGTTAGACGACTTGAGGGGTGGGGAGAAGAGTCAGAGAAGAGAGGGAGGGGAAGACCCAAACAGACTTGGATTAGAGTAATCAAAACTGATATGCGTCTTCTTGGGTTGGATGAGAGTATGACTTTGGAGAGAGAAAAGTGGAGGGCGCACACCCATGTGGACGATTGATGTCTTGTCTACCTTTCCTCTCTTGTTTCTTTTATCGTTTATCTTCCTTATCTTTTTATATTCTTATATTATTTTTATCTTCTAGCTTTTTTATGTTCTTTTATTTATTTTTCTTTTATCTTGGTTATATTCTTGTGTTATTATTATCTTATATTTATGTATCTTTATTTTATTCATTTTATCTTACTTTTTTTTTCCTTTTCTTGTCCGCCTTCTCTTTTTGGCATCGATATCATAGATCGATTCATGTTAGCCGACCCCAAATTCTTTTGGGATTAAGGCTTGGATGTTGTTGTTGATGGGTGTTAGACAATTAGACTGAACTTTATGTATTAGCTGTGCTGCTGATTGCCAGTTTATGTATGATTGTGTATGCTAAGTATGCTATAGAGCTGTCACAGGTCTGTTTATGTGTGCTTAGGTTTTGCTATATTCAACATGAGGGATGCAAGTCTCTTAGGGATGTATCCATGTTAAAACTTAAAAGTTGTGTGATTGAGACTTCCTTCCACCAATCATCACATTACAAGTCCTGGATTGCTACTGCTAATTTTTACTTGCAGTTCTTCTCACTTCTTCATTCATATAATCATATTAACTGAAATCAGACATCTGTCAAGCTGAACCTGAGCCTCATGCTTTAAGCTCATCGCATCCTGAGGATTGAGGATCACTATTACCGAATCAACCTGAAATTATCTTACGGACTACAGTGTTCAGGCTCAGCTGTTTAGCACCTCTAGTGCCAATGCTCTTCTTAGGTGTTCAATTTTGGACTTTAGTAGAATCAAAAGGAACTTTTTATAAGGAACTAATGAAATATTATAGTTTTGTGAATTGATGATACCAAATTGAAGATCCTTCAGTATAGTTTAGCTGTGGAGATAAGACGAAGGCTAGTCCACCAAATCCTGCAGATTTTCCTTTTAGGGAATACAGTCACGGTGAAATATGACCAGCAATGTTGCTGATTAGGAATTCAAAGTAATTGTTGACAATAATGCATCTCTTTGCTGCTTTAGGCTGGAGAAATTCTTTGAACTCAAATTTCAAGACTAATATGGGTGTTAGACACTTAGACTGAACTTTATGTATTAGCTGTGCTGCTGATTGCCAGTTTATGTATGATTGTGTATGCTAAGTATGCTATAGAGCTGTCACAGGTCTGCTTATGTGTGCTTAGGTTTTGCTATATTCAACATGAGGGATGCAAGTCTCTTAGGGATGTATCCATGTTAAAACTTAAAAGTTGTGTGATTGAGACTTCCTTCCATCAATCACCACATTACAAGTCCTGGATTGGTACTGCTAATTTTTATTTGCAGTTCTTCTCACTTCAGTCATATTAACTGCTAAAATTAGATTTCGTATCTGATTGAGCACCATTTTCGTGTTTGTGTGTCTTATAAATTAGGGAGAACTATCAAATAAGCCCTCGAACTTACATAAAAAGTGCAAATAAGCCCTTTTATAGGAGGCTCTGTCCGGCCGTCGCCATTTGGGACGGTTTCCGGTGGAATTTATTGATGAAATTTTTTGAGCATCTTGTTCGTTAAGTCTAGTTTACTCATACCAAATTTCAGCTAAAACTTCAACCAAGAAGGCAGTCAAATGATTTTCTGAAATATACTGTGCTGTTTAACTCAGTCACATGGATCGCGGTACGCTTCGGTACGCGGTACAAAAACGGGAACGCGGATCGCCAAAATTAGAAATCCGATACGTGGGGGGTAGGCTTCTTCGGTACGCGATTTCGGTACGCGGTACGCTGTACCAATTATATATGGTACGGTGAACCATAAACATATTAAATTTACTAAGTATAAATATAATACAAGTATAATATTAAACGATTAACTTCAATAATATTAAACAAACTTAACAATGTTTGGGACAACAATAAAACATATAAACCAGTAAACAAAGTAAAGTAATAAACATTAAACAAACTTC